AGAGGCACAAAACATAAATATCGACCTGAAAATGAGCTTAATATGTCTTCTTTAAGAGAATCACCGTGAAGCAAATGTACGGACTAGCCTAACAAAATATATCTTCCCTGCATCGCTTTATTACACCATGAACTAGGCCTTGTATTTGACTGTTTAGTGTACCACTCAAATTCTAATTTCCAATGTGTGAAGACAGCTTTACAGGACACACAAAACTGTCTCTGACACTTCAGCTGTCCCTCCAGACAGAACCAAACATGTTACTTTGTAGACTTCTCACTGGTGGATCAAATGGTTGTATATTGTATTATTTAGACACTCCAACATATATCTGACTCTGTAATCGCTTCTCCAAAAACCCTGTTTGTCACCTGTGCCCTCCTGCTCCCCATTCCCTGGAGTAAACAGCCATCTACAGCCTGAGGGCTAGAGCCAGACCTCCTGATGAGCAGCGTCTGACAGTCTCATAACCAGAATCAGAATCACAGCAGTTACCACAGGAACAATCCAGGCGACAGATGAGGAGATGGATTCACAAAGAGGCAGCTGTCAGGATATTAACACACTAAATATCGAGCTACACCCTTATTGTATGGGCATTGGTGGACGAAGTACTCAGAGATTTACTTAAAGTAAAAGCAGCAATAACAAGTTGTAAAAAGAGATAAACTCCCTCTGGAGGACTTTAGCCTTTGCAGACCATTTACATGCAACACACTACAGGAGAGGGGAACCCCCAACATGTATAACAGGGCCCCTTTAAGTACAGTACATTGGGTTAATAACACATTACATTTAGCCATTGCTTAGGAGTAAAACTAACATAACACTTATCCATCTTAGCACGTTACTGCTTTGGCCTTTATCTACTGCCTCCTTCCAGGCTTTGCTGCTACTGCTGACCTCGTGCCTTCCAGGATTTAATGAACAGAATATGTTGGTAATTAGCATTGCCAACACACAGCTCTTAAAAGCTTAACCACTGAGTGCAAACCCCCCTACATGCAGCATGTGTGGCAGGAGGCTGAGCGAACACGAGCACAGACTTTCTAATTCTGCACCTGTACATGCCACATGCTTAGACGCTTTAGAAACGTTTATTTGGAGTCAGATACAAAGTGGAAAAAGGAGGCAAAGATAACAGAGAGCTACTAGGCAGGGTATGTGAAACAGGAACATCTTAAGAGAGAGAAATAAAGGGCAGGAAATGAAGCTGCTGAGATTGCTGATATAAAAGAAACTTCTGTGTCATTAAATGATCACAAATAAAGTTTAAAGCCCATCTGCAATATTGAATAAAGCAATATAAACATGAAGAGTGTTCGGGATGACGGACGCCAGGAAGGCAGAGTCAAATAAAAAGAACATGAGCAAATACATTACAACCATCTAATCATTTATTTTTAAGATTTTACAGTCAGCTCGAACATACGTTGATGCTACGGCTAATCTTCGATTAAAGGATAAGACTGATATACTGCAAAATAAACAAATCCCATTAAAAAAAGTGATTCCATCACTCAATACTTTTTTAATCTCCCTTCCCTTCTCTGCCAATCCCTAGCTTACTAGGTCCTACAAGAATCTTTTATATTTATATGAATATGTTGCCCCCTTAAGGGCAGCCAAAACAAGCTGTAAATAGAACAGATGATATCTGGAATTGTGTTGCTGTTCAGAGCAGCAAGAAAGAACCAAAACAGTTAAGCTACGTGACGTGAAACCAAAACAAAGAGCTAAAAGACACAATTATCAGCTGATAATTAACTCTGATGAGATTACCAGCGACCCCATTGCATATAATCGTACTTTGTTTGACTGTCAATATAAAAATGCGGATTACAGACGCTTTATACTGTTACTGTGTTATAGTGGTCTTAATGATGTTCTCTAAAGACAAATCTTTGAGGCAGAAGGGACCCAGTTAACGTTCATTTGAGCTAGCCTATACTTGACAGGTTACAGGTTTCTTGTTGCCGTAGCAATTCATTGTGACTAACATTTTTTTGGCCTTGGCTGAAAGTACTTCACAAAATCTCAAGGCTTCAATGCACTCCTGAAATGAAAGAAGTCCTATCAAAATATATAGAATATATGATTAAAAACGAAACCAAGTTACACAAATGAGATCCTTCATTAGATCTCAAGAGGAGCGCACACAAATAAAATGATAGGGTAGGTAAAACGACTGCAGATAATATGATGACCACTAGGTGTTGTTGATAACACGATGTCTAATTAGACAAGACGGTCCTCTTGCTACACTGTTTCAATCTAAATGAATTACCTTAATATCAATCAATATCTCAATACAATATTCAAAGGTCTTCAGACAAAAAAAGGAGTTGAAGGAGAAAATAAAGAAATAAAGAAAAAGAAAAAAGCTCAAGTCGAAGGTTTCATTCAACCCATGTGGCTCCTTTGTGTTAATGGTTTGAATCCAGTGTGCCACTGATGATAGGATTCTTTATATTCCAATCAAATAAGGAAAGCAAATGATGGGATGATATGTATGTATGATATGATCATGTATACTCTGCATTGTTAGCTGTAACTCTGTTTCTCATGATGAAAGTCAACAGTATCGTTTCAGGTTTTCTGAAAAACTCAGTTCCCCTGTAGTTCATAACAAAACACATAAATAATAGTTTCTCTCATGCAACACATATTTTATTACTTTTAGTATTTTGTAATAAAAACTAGTGTAAGTAAAACCACAAATAATGATATTGTAGAAAGGTTATCCAAATTGTTTGTGACTTCGGAGAAGGTCGAAAGGCGGACAAATACTGTGCATCATTTTATGTTAAAAGATGTTCTTATAGCTGCTTACAACCACATGACTGTGTTATAAACCCTGTATTACCTTTATTGAGTGCCTATAAGAGATTTCTCTGTCTGTTGAAACAATGACAACGTAAACGTTGCACTTAAGCTTCAGCGCAATTAACCCTGACTGTTTATTTAAAATGGTAATACACCGTCTGTTCCACCCCCCAAAAAACCCTGGAGATCCACTAAAGCCCCCAATAATCCACACTACTTCTTGACAAAAAAGTCCATTATGTTAATGTTGCCTGGCAACAGGACTCCAGACAGTACAGGGAAAAAGGGTCTTGGGTTAATATTGATTCAAACTGATATTGGTTTCAGGAAGTAGCAGCTGGAACACTGTAAGTTTCAAGCTAAAAGCCAGAAGTGTTTTAGACTCAAGGGGAGCAGGGCAGATTGGGGGGGGGGGGGGGGGGCTGCAAGGAACATAACGGCACGCAGATGATAGAAGTGAAAGGGAACCTTATGGATCAATAAACCCTGCAGCACATTTACAATCTGTCTTCCTCCTCTCCACTCAAACTTGCTTTATTCACAGGTTCATTGTCATTGAGCAAACTCTTTTTTTGTGTGCATCTACTGACATGTCTCCATGCTTTAATGTTCAAAAAGCCCTTTACTTTTCTCATACTGCCTGTGCTGCAGCACCTCTTTTCACCCTCTGTCTGAAACCAGAGCCCAGGCTGCTTTTTTCTACAATGTGTTGGAGTATTATCCAATAGAAGTGCGATTGTTACATAGTGATGTCACTATGTTGCAGAAGTAAACAAAGGAGTCCAATTAAGGTGTTTCAGGCAGGCGGGGGGGATTTGGGGATTTGAGCCTTTGCAGACCATTTACATGCACAACAACCTAAATAACACACTACAGGAAAGGGATACCCCAAAAAGCATAATAGGGCCTCTTTAATTTTGCATGGGATCGTGTACTTTTCCTGGAAGCCTCACTCTGTGGCCTGTTGCTTTAAGTATTTGTAACTTTTCACTGCATACCATCTCCTTCTCTTTTCCCCAGCTCTCTGCTTGGTTATCCTCGTAAATGAGTAAATACATTCCCTTTCTCACTACAACGTCCGTTATAAACACAGCAGCTCCACACACTCCCATTGGCTGGAAGTGACATCACATCATCGCAAAGTGTCGAGTCAGACTCACTCTCTCTCTCTCTGACAGATGATGCCCCCTTGTGGTTGTACAGGAAACAGCAGTCATTTTAAAACTTGGGTTTTAAAGTCTACTTATGACCTATTTACATGTTTAACATCTGCCGAGAGACTGAAATACACTGACCCCAGATCGGTGACTTTCCCCTTATCCGAGGCATCTGATCCCAGACAGAAGCTGGGTAGAGTAAATTGGCTTATGTTTTGTCTAGCTTACTTATTAGAGTGAATTAGACTGTAAGCCTTCCTGATTATTAAACTAACAGGATCATGTTCAGGCTCTAATGGTTACTTACTGCACGTTGTAATCTGCCCTCTGGTGTTCTCAAATGACTACAGACACATCCTGCACCAGCAGAATATGATATACTGATTGAAGTCTGTAATAAGGCTTTTGTTCATTTTATTGTTTTGCTTGTTTCATTATATTTGCAAATGATGGCCATGAATGTGTGATAAATTCAACTGTGAATCACAACTTTGACTGTAAGAGACTTAACAAATATGATATGTGCGACTAGGGCTGCAAATAAAATAGATGGGTGATGTTTCAGATGAAATGTGTTTATATTGTTGTCAAGAATTAAATTAATTCTCACATCTGAGGAACTAAAACCTTATTTGGGTTATTTGGATAGTAAATTACTAAACGGCTGATTTATTACTGACATAGTTCCTCATTTATTTTCCACCAAAGGACAAATGAATTGACATATTGCTGCAGCTCCAATTGAAACACTGGGGTTTTCTAGATGTGTCTGTCTTCAGTGTCAGAAGTATTGTAAAGTGGTTAAGTGTACATGGTGAATGTTAAAGGGAATATGAAGAAATGAATATGTTGTGTGATGCAGATACAAATAAAGAAAACATTTAAAAACCCATTATAACAAGGTAAGAAGGCTAAGAAGCATTTGAGCTTTAGCTAAGCATCAGAGACTGTTTAGCTCAAGTCAAGTCCTCTCTATTAGTATATCTAAAGGATAGGTCATGTTGTAGTGATTCCTACCTTGCGGCTGGTGTAGTGGGCGTGTTTGGCCAGCTTGCCGTTGAGTCCCTGGAGGAAAACCTCGTCTGTGACTTTGCCCACATTCATACAGGCCTCGTCCAGCACAGAGAAGATGCCCTTATGCTGCTGCTCCACCAAGTCCACTATGATCTGATTATTGAAGTAATCAATCTGACAACAGAAGACAGGAGAATAAAAGTCACACTGTGTCAAAGTGACAGAAATATACTGCAGGCTGTACACTTTGACAAGGTAATAAAAGAAGCAGTGAAACTAATCTCCTGAAGTCAAAGCTTTTTGGAAAGAATAAGACAATAAAGTGGTGAAGGAAGGATTCCTAAAACCCAAAAATGAGTTAGCATTTTACCTCATCGGTTTATCTCGTCTTGAGGTCAACAGTTTTGTTAACATGTTAGGGTTAAACGCCTGTTTAATACATTTGATAAACACAAGCTATCAGTAAAACACCGCTCACAAATGTTCTGATCTTCTGAAATATTCTTCAATCCAATGAAAAAATCCCATTGCTTTTTGATGAGGAAGCCCTTGTGAAGCAAATGTCCAGGTCGGCTAACAAAATGTCCCTCCACTCCACCGCTCTGTGTCCTTTAAATATTTGGCATTGGAAATGCAAAATGATGCAACTAAGCATAACAAAAGAAAAAGAAAAATCCCCCTTACATGTTTCCATGGGATGCCTTCTCGTTGATACTCTTCCTGTTCCTGCTTTAGCACCAGCTGGATGAACAGTTGCTGCAGCTTTTCATTACAGTAGTTGATGCAGAACTGTTCAAAGCTAAAGAAATAGAGGGGATTGAATGTTATGCATGCATCAGAATACATTTCTAATTATATATGGAGAAACGCGATCTTTGTTGTCTTTGTTACAACCAAGAAAATCTAATAAATACAGACAAACGTAACATTCTGTGAGAAAGGATGCAGATGTTTTGATTCTTATTGTTTTGGTGGAATAGTGTGTCTCATGCTAACCTGTTGTTCTGGAAAATCTCAAACCCGTAGATGTCCAGCACCCCGATGACGGTGTTCTTCCCGTGGACTCTGGCGTCGTAGTTTTTCACCTCGATGATGTCATTGATTCGTCCCACTATCCAGCAGAACAGTCGCTCGTACATGGCCTAAAGACGACACAATATGAAAACAGGGTCATTAGACTAATTGGCTGGTGAACAAGTGCATTGCTCAAGGGCAGAGAGGATTACAGCACAGATGGGTCATTGAGTGTGTCATAATGTGAGTCAGACTTTTGTTCACAGCCCACAGTGCTGGTTTAGAAACTGCCTACATACATTTCCTCCTCCACAGTCTCCAGCCTCTGTCTGGAGTCACAACATTGTGACTCACGCTTGTGTGAATTAGTGTGAATTGCAATGAAACTATCGCCAAGCGCTTGGTGAAATGTCACAACCCCTCGCCATCAGCTGGTTGTGTTTTTCCCTCTTTGTGTACGGCCAAATACAGAGAAAGTGTTGTGTGCAGTACTGCTGGACAACAGACCAACAACATGTAATTAACTATCAAACAGTTACCTTGGCTAAAGCGTCCCGTCCGTAGCTGGCCTCCTGCATCGTGTGCTGCTTCTCAATGACGTCCCGGCCCGTGGCCACGGTACGGTAGAGCATGGCCTTCTCCACGTTTTCTTCTTTGGTGGACAGCAGGTCGCTAAACACAGCCACCAGCTTTGTGTTCTCTATCAAAGTCACATCTCCGTCCACCCCGAATGTCAGGTTGCCCTAGAAGAGAAGACACAATGCATGGATTATTCGGCAGTGCATAAGGTATAGTTCATCATTGTGGAAAACACAAATGTGCGTTCTTGCCACAGAGTTTGATGAACAGATTGATACCAGTTTAATGTATGTCACTAAATATGAGGCAGTGATTAGCTAAGCTTAGCATGTAGCTGGGAAACGGCATGACTGGCTGTAGCCATTTGTGAATCTCCATAATAGCAGATGTGTAACTTTGACATTGTTGTCTGTGTACAAATGATGTCAGGCTAGGTGCTTCTGTTCCAGTTTAGAAAAGATACAGATACAAGAGGGGTATCCATCTTCTCAAGGCAAAACAAGAGAATAGGGACATTTCACAAAAAGGAAGGTTCCTGGAAAAGGATAACGGCGGAAATTCTTTAGATAGTTAAAATTGCAAATAAATTATAAAAACTAAAGTAAACAAGAGAGTATTTTATACAGTGAACACCTGTTTAGCTGCTGCATTTTTTTTACTGCAGGCAAATCAATTGAACAAATAATGTCTGTTCACTGTTTTCTACATATCACTTATTCAAATGAATTCCTTTGAAAACTGTTTATAAAGTCAAAATGACTAATAATACTCCAATAGTTTCCTTCTAGTTTCCAGTACGAAATAATATAGCTGTATACCAGAAATAGCCTAGGAAATTCTCAGGAAATTATAGACCCTTATAGACCGTATATATGTATCTTCTTTTTTTTTAATGAGCTGCTTTTGCATTGGAAATAGTACCCAGTGTCAAAAACAAACAAAAGAGTAAACAAATGTGTGCTATTTCAAATCCATACACTTACTATCCTGGTAAGCATACTGGCCCACTTTGCCAATATGGCTCTCATTTCTCTCAAATCTATACACAGTATCTCCCATATTGGGACTCAGCTGGCGTGAGACTTGAGCGGGGATTTTGATATTATCGGGTATTACCAGATGTAGGATGGTGGCCAGGATCTTGTAAACAGTCTGAATCTCATCCCCTGTGAAACCGATCACTTTCATGGCATCAGCCACAGCTTTGAAATCAGCGCCATCATTGATAGAAGACTAGAGAGAGAGAACGGGAAATGTTGGATTCAAACAAAATACTGAAAGTAAACAGTGTTAAAGTTGATTGGATTTATCATTGTAATGTCAAGTAAGATTTCAAATTAAGAACATTTTGTCTTTTAAAAAATGTATTTGCTTAAACAAATATAAACATGGATCAAAGTGTTTTGTCCCGGAGCCAGTCTGTTCCTGTCCCTTTCAAACTAGCAGGGATGTCATTTCCCCACAGTTAATGACATTAGAAACTGCTGCTCCGCTGTGATGTTTGGCTATAAAATAGGAGCCGCTGAGGCACACAGTGTATAAACCGCTACCTCAGCTGTTTGGTTGAGTTGTATTCCATTGCGTCAGGCTGTTGTTTTGTTGCTGTCAAGTGGATTTGTTCCAACTCATTAACTCATGCAAAGACTGTGGCACGAAGCTGAGGTCTACATCAAAAACACTCCTCTGTACAGTAACAGTGATTACGGCAATGCTCTCTTTACATGCAATACATGACTTTTGTACTGTTTTGTTTAATACAATCTGTAAACTGTGGTGAGGAAACACATCTGTGTGTACAGTAAGTGGTGTGTTTGATTGCATCCATATCACTGAAAACTAACTCACACTGACGCTCTCAGACTTTTGTTCTCTGGTTTTCATTCTTTGCTACTTGTACTTTTGTTAGAATGTAAGTTCAACTTTAAGAAGTACCTTGATTTGGCCTCCAACTTTGATGTAGTTGTAGGCTGTCGCGTCCTTTTTGATGTGAATAGAACGTAACAGGGAATCTGGAGCTCCTTTGAGCAGCTAGGGGGGGGGACAAAACATACATTATTACTGACAACATACACACAGCCCCCTTCTTGAGTTTCTGAATCATTGAACGGCCATTATGCAAACTTCTACCAACTGTCATTTATGACATTTTAACTCAAATATTATTTATTAAAGTCATTGGCATGTCCATGTTATTTGAATGTAATGACTGTACATCCAATAAATATGGCTTATTCATTTTCAATTCATTGAGCTCCTACATGTAGGTACAAAAGGCCCCTTGATGACTCATGGATTCATATTCCTGGTTGTGAGTTCAGTTGCATGACTAACACACATACAGTACTGTACAAATGCTCTTTACATATGTACCTGGTAGAATGAATGAAAGCTCCTCTCTCCTTCCTGTTGGAAAATGACCCTGGACTGTGGAAAAAGTGGAGCATTACATAACAGCCGTTTTAAAGCCACCCGGAGCATCACACAAGCCAGTTATTCCCATTTGTTGGGATTATGACACTTTCAATTAGAGCTATGTCTACTCCAATACCTTTTCCAGAAGGTAGTTGTTGATGTGGCCTCCGATGGGGTCTCCCTTGAAGTCGAAGTTGATGTCCATGTATTTGCCGAAGCGGCTGGAGTTGTCGTTGCGGCTGGTCTTGGCGTTCCCGAAGGCCTCCAAGACACAGTTGGATTTAAGCAGCATGTTTTTCACCCTGTGTAAGGCAGGACGATAGAACAGGTTAAGACGTCGGCTGGGGATAAATGAGCGAACCCACATGTTTCATTACAGCCTTTTACTTTAAACCTTCTTAGTACATCTAAGATAAGTTAATAGGAAACAGCTTGTTAACAATATCAACTTTATAACATGATGATCCTTCCACATTCACATCTGATCGAAACCTATCCCTAAGCACATTTACGAAAACCAAGACCATCATTTTGTCATGTACATTTACTCATTTATTTTTAAATATTGCTGGAAAGCATAGGCACTAATGTGACTTAATTGCATAACTGCCACATGGTCACCTCCACTTTTGAAATGCATAATTGTGTTGCACTTTGTATGTTCCCTACTGTGTGTTTGTTTATGGTATGTGTGGCCTTATATGCCAGGGCCAAAGACACATTTCCATTTCATGTAATTGGTGGACAATAAAGTGATAAGTGTGAATGATGTGCCATTGTTGTGTTAATAGCTGGTTCTGCTGCCCTCAAGTGGACAACAAATAGAATAATGCAGGTTACAAATATATCACCATGTACAGAGTTATTAAAACAGAAAACTACATGTATAAATTCAGACAGATGTGTCAGTATGTGATATTTGACCAGGTGCAGCTAGAGTTTTTAAATGTGTTTCCACTAGCAAACCGTGGAAAAGCTTTCCCCTGAGACCCACTAATAACTGAGAGGGACGAGCAACAATCTTAGCTGATAGCTAACTCACAAAGATAACAATACACTGGGAGTAGTCAGTTAGGGTTGCCAACTTCCAGAAATGGAAAAACGCGCGCGCGAAGATTTTCGGGTTTCTGGCGGATTTAGTTACTTTTTTTTGTTACTTTATTTCGGTTTTAGGGTTAGGGTCAGGTTAGGGTTATGTTATTTAATTCTTTTGGGGGAGCCAGCCCCTAGGGTTCGAAAATGTTTTGGGGGGTCAAACCCCCCAAAACCCTCAAAATGCATAGAAAACTATGCATACCTATAACACAAACACAATGGTCTTACACCTGCATTAGGCTACTACATCACATTGTACATCAGCATGTTCAAATCAGATAGGTGGGCACTAGGGACATCTGGGCACCTCGATGTACAATTGGCTATTTTGTCCAAAATGTTAAAAAATAAATATTTGAAAAATGGTATTAAGTAATGCAAAGTATACATGATGTGAACATGCACGGTACATCATTATTAGACTTCATGTTATCCTTCAACCAACCATTATCCCATCAATCAGCTGACACACACACACACACACACACACACACACACACACACACACACACACACACACACACACACACACACACCACACACACACACACACACAACACACACACACACACACACACACACACACACACACACACACACACACACACACACACACACACACACACACACACACACACACACACACACACACACACACACACACACACACACACACACACACACACCACACACACACACACAACACACACACACACACACACACACACACACACACACACACACACACACACACACACACACACACACACACACACACACACACACACACACACACACACACACACACAGTGCCTGCCCTGTCAACTGAGCGGTCCTTTGCATAAAGCACACAAACACACAGGCACGCAGCCAGACACACTGCATTGCGCGCAAATAGAAACATATTTTTTATTTTTCCCTTTACACGGGAGTCCGGGACAAACAAAGTCCCATACGGGACACGCCCCTTTGGGCTCAAATACGGGGCGTCCCGGCTAATACGGGACGGTTGGCAACCCTATAGTCAGTAGAAGTTAGAAAGACTGATTGATCTGCCTCCATGTACACAATGTAGGACTTGACCCGGTGCTACATTCTTGCAGGAGAATCAATTCATCATTTCAAACGAATATCTAAAATCTGTCATTTTGTTAAAAACCTCTTTTCAAAGAGGCATTTTTTGCTCAGAAATGTCTGGCTTTTTATTTACCAGGTTGAAGGCTAATGATACCATTGAAACTATATGATCTAATCTAAAAACTCTCTTGAACCTCGATAACACTGTATTGCTTTTGTCCGAATAGCTGTAAAGTTTAGACTTAGCTGGTAAGAGTATAGAACATTTAATAGAGGTTTTTTATTGTTTAAAATATATTATACAGTGAAATGGATATTGCAATACTGTTAAGAATAAAAACATACATAACATAACACATATTGCTCCTGTCACATAAAGACTGGCTGGCCTGTGACCCAAATGATACCCAGATGACACTTTATGCCTGACCTTAACTTTGTGTGGGCTGTCAGTTATGGATCATATGGTTTAATAGCTGAGACTTTGATATGTGGCAGTAATCATTTGTGGAATATGACTTGCTTCTATCAACCATACATTCAAGATAAGAAATGTGACCTAGAATATAGATAATTAAGAATGAGATATGAAGCTCTTTCTATGTACGTACTAAAATAGACCTTTTGCTGCAGCTAGAAACTCTAATTTGAGGAAGAGGATTATTGCTGAACATTCTTTGGTGGATTTTGAGACAGGTTTGAAATGACTTTTTATTTGTTATTATCCAATGTATTATCCAATGTATTCTTTGATTTGTATGACTGTTTGTGTGGTTAACCATGCATAACAACTCCATTTGAAGAATTCAAAGAAAAACTCCTCCGTACCCACTCCCCATTCCACAAACCAAGCCTGTGTACGGTCTTTTCAGTGCGACTTAACCGGGTCAATAGCAGCAGCAACTCACCTTTCAACTTCAGCCCTCTGATTGGGATTGGTGATAGCAGCAATGTATTGCATTATGTACTTGCTGGCTTCTGTCTTTCCGGCTCCACTTTCCCCTGCAATGAAAACAATACACAGTGCAGTGTGTCTTTAAAAGCATCCATTTTTATTTCAGTAGTCATTTTTAGGCAGTTTGCTTTATAAATGAATGAATAATAAACCTGAAAAGACCCATGCCCAAAGCCTGATTTGTTGTGTCATACTTTAAAAACGATACTGTGTTGCACAAACATGTTTCAGTATACAACACCACTTTTATTTTCAAGTGAGTTAATAGACCAAACTATATTTTTGTCTGGGTATGGATTCATGACACTATGGTTTTAAGATGCTCAGTTCCCCCTTCTGACCACTAAGTGGTGCTTCATCCTCTGCATGGCTTCTCCAGCACAGCTTATATCCACATAAGAACATCTTTTGTATTCATTACTTTTATTAACTTAACAAAGGTCAGAGGTTATATGAATATGTTCAGGACATTTGCTCCAGAACATCGGTCAGGAGAGATAACACCGGAGTATAAGAGGAAATAAAGGAGGATTACAGTGGTTTTTTATATTTTGTAAAATAAAGTTCTCAGAAGAAATGCGTTCCCTGACTTGTCGTTTCTTGTGAAATGTAGAGAGAGTAAAACATCTTTGTTCTCTTGGTGTGGCCCATGCAGGGGGGCTTTCTGTGTTACCTGAGATGACAATACAAGTGTCTTTGTTCCTCCTCTTCATGGCCTTGTAAGCAGCGTCAGCGATGGCGAACAGGTGGGGGGGCCTCTCGTACAGCTCGCGGCCCTTATACTGCTCCACCATGTCGCGGCCGTAGATGTTCATGGCACGGTAAGGGTTGACGGACACCACCACCTCCCCGATGTAGGTGTAGATCCTCCCCTTCTCAAACCTGAGGGAACACAACGGGGCTTTTTAGTGGTTTTATCAAATGTTCAATGTCCTTCTACTTGTCTTGTGTTTGTGTTTAAGCAGGCGAATTTACCCATTGAGTTTACCGTCTTCATTTATAAGCATTTCTATTTTGGGATGAATTTATAATCAAACTCTGCCAGAGAAGGAATAAAATGCTTTTTATTTACAAAACTACTGCTTTAAAACGTTTAGCATCAGTCAATACTTTTGTAGAATCCAGCATCAAGCAATTACCAGAAACTATTTGAAAAAAGGAAATTCTAATAAAAAATGTCAATTGCATTAAAAATCATTCCGATACAAAGCAACATCACGCTGACTGGGACGGCCCGTCACTTCAACTCACAATGACACTCATTATGCAGCAACTTCCTAAAAGGAATTGAATCACAAGTCAAATTGTATTTCAATAACTGTATAACCAGCTTAACATTTGCCACTTTAAATAAATGTATCTGACATTTACATCGGTAAATAAGCCATATATATTGTGAGTTGATGTTTTCAATCTGTCCAACGGCACAATTTTGCATGTTACAATCTTTCAGTTTGCATGTTACAATCTTTCAGTTTGCATGTTACAATCTTTCAGTTTGCATGTTACAATCTTTCAGTTTGCATGTTACAATCTTTCAGTTTGCATGTTACAATCTTTCAGTTTGCATGTTACAATCTGACAGTTTGCATGTTACAAGCTCAAAGCCTTTTTCAAAACCTCTAACACCGTCAATAAGGGAGTCAATATATCTGACACCGATGCTGTATTGAGGGACAACATCAACTCTCTGCTCCTGAACTCTTCCTCCTTCAATTGTGTTAGTGCTGCAACATACAATGAGATCTAAACAATAGTGAGCTTCCAACTTTATGTCAACAGAATGAGTTTGTTGTCCCTTTCCGGTTTCAAATGACAATGTCCTCCATGCACAAAGCCAGTTCTATAAGACGTGTTTTCCTGTTTGGACTTCAACCCAATCCAACATTGCTAAGATGCATTTTAAACTGTGAGCAACACCTGATTACCAAACAGCAGTGCTGGACCTGATGACGACTGAATGGAGGATAAACCCTGCAGCCAGGTTCCAATATATTGTGCAAAGACTGTAACCAGAGGAGTGTCGTTTATTACAGCAGCAGATGAATGCCTATTGTTAAGGATGCTATAACAAATGACCCCTGCCTGCATGTGTGCAGAATGCAGGTTGGTTTGTGTGACGAGGGCTATATAAATAAACTTCCATAGTCATTACAACTATTGATATGGTTGTATTTTTCTGACATGGACATCTTTTTCAAAAAGGTACAGAGTAGCTCTATCTCACTTTCTGTGCCCATCTCTCTAAATCACACAATCTTTTGATCTCTGTCTCTCTCCCCCAGCCTCAGGCCCGCCTGCCTGACTTCCTTCCTCTCCAAAGAGAACTAGGAGCCCAGTTACTCTCAACAGAAGAATGGCCTCTTTCTTCACAGCTGCCAAACCTCTGCCGCTGCCTTGCAAACAGAGCCAAACGCAGATTATTCCAAAACGGTCCTAACAGGCCCACGCAAAGTGTTTGTGATTGTGGGTTTGAAGCGATTGCCAGATGAAAAATCAATCAAGCTCATAATTGCTAAAACGATTTGCCAGATATTGAGTTACCATATATTTGAATGAAATTGCTGAGTCACTGGTAGAATTACAAATCAAGCGCTGAATGATGAGAACATTATTACTCAGCTTTTAACCTTAACATACATCCAACTGGCTGTTGATGGATGTCCATGACATTCTTCTTGTTTATCAGTGTTTCTAAACCTTGCATTTTTCAATCATTTTGTATAAATCATATCCGCACTGAACTTTTAAAAAGGTATGTTAATAGTGCATTTTAGTGGGAACAAAAAAACAGTAACCAATTGTTGAGCATGGCAACGTCAAATAAATTAGTGCTCAATATTGTCATCGAATTTACAAGTGAAATACTGAGCAACGCTATAGGGTGGGATAACACGACTCATGTTGCAGCTAGGTACAACAATGCTTTACCACACTACACATGCTGCATTAGCTCATCCTTATGTGTTCATACTGCATGTCAGTAATCTTACTGTATGTCAGGCCATGCACAAACTGGCACGGCTGGCTGACAATGACCTGATATGAAGACGGTAGAATAAAGATGCAGAATAAGAGGCTTTTGTGTAAATAATGCCACTTTCTGTTATCGACAGAGAAATAATAATATTCAACAAAAAAAACGTCAGTCAATTTGCAAGCAAAAGAAACTGAAAATGCCGTTCTCCTGATTTACTCCGTTTTATATCGTATCATCCTAAAAAGCTTTGGGTTAAGGACTGACTAAAGAAGACATTCACTTGGATTTTGTCGTACTGGGATGGACAGTTCTTACTTGTCTCTGAAAAGATTTGTTGGATTCATTGATAATGAAAATGTAAAAGCTAAGCTAACTAGCTGGCTCTTCGGATCCTGATGCCACAGAAAAAGCCATTGTGCCCCCCCCCCCCAGTCAAGAGGCTGCTGTGTGCTCGCTCCATTGTTCAAATGTCAATCGGAGGTCTTTGTCTCAGACGTCGCCCCCTGCATGGGCCAACACGGAGAGCTGCCCACTCAACGTACAATAGCTGCTGGGGGATCTTCAACAATGGTTGAGATAAAGGGAGGGGGGTGTATGTGGAGTCCGAGCTGCGTACTGTATGTATAGATGGCGTCTGTACAAAATGAAAACATCTGGAGGTATTTTTCATCTTGGGAATTGATATGGTTCCAAACCAGACGAAAGGAAAGCTCATAAACACCTAATAATATTGTTTAAATGCAAGATATTAAAATAATCCACTCATGTTTAGCGATAAAAGGAGACGTAAACATTCCGCTATACTGTTAATACCAAATATGTGATTGTATTTCACCATTGTGGGATTTGATTGAGATGTGTCACCCATCTGTATATCCGGATCTTTATTGATGAATAATGACAAGTGACATTGGTTGAACTCTTCTTATCTGTACATTACCGGTATAAAATGTCTAACAACGTTAATATACCATTATAAAGCAAACCAGTCTCAAGGGAGTATTGTTGCCCTTGTACAAAATCTGTGTGTTTAAAATATGTTTATTTATGTTAAGGCTTGCATTTGATGTCAAACTCTGCAGCCCCATGAGTTCAAAAAGTAAAGTAAACATTTTAATTCATGCACGCTGATTTAATAAACACCCCTGAACAAGGTGACAGGTAGAGACTCATTTCTATGGATTAGCCTTAGCCTATCACAAATGTGCAAAAACTATCACTTATTTGAAGTTAGGCAATGTTGCTAAATTGTTTCAAAAAGGACAAGAAGTTCAGGAACATTACATCATTCAAATACACGTCAAGGGTTTTTTGAACAAATATTATCCTTGGGAGTGTCAGTCTGGTATTGTAATTTTCATTTTTTCCACCCAATAACAAAACATTACACACTAGACAAACAAACCACATCAGACTATACCACAGTGTGGATTCTCTGTGAAGCTGCACAGCTTAGAAAAACACAGGCAGACATTAAATCATCAAATCACTGACAATCTAGATCTAGAGGTGCCCGGGAGTTTTACCCCCACCTCTACATTTACAATCGCATCATTTTTGAGACTAAAATGGTTCCACGTCGAGGAGAAAAGAGACAAATCAATCAGTTTGTGCGTGTCAACTGAGATTGAGCGTTGGCTGATCCATCTGCTCCACTCTCATTTAGCGGATTTAATAGACGCAGGATTAGAGGACTGTATGGGTCATAGCAGTCTCCTAGAAAACACTATTTATAGTTGCATGGAGACTGAATCAGATTTCAATGTAGTAACACTTTTGGTTCTTTTTTGACCTTCAGAATAAATTGGGTAATTTGAAGCTTCATGTTAGATGAAGATTGAGAAGTACATTTCAGTTTGAAAGTACATCAAACTAGAGGGAAGGTTTACCAGTCTATTAATCCTTTGAGGTATAACAGCACAACTCTTACTTCATCACCCCCCCCTCCTTCATCTTTCTGTCTGTCCAGCTGTGAGGGGAGGGGTGGGTCCGAACTGATCTGACCGGCAGCCCAGTGATCTATTTCCGAAAGGACCCATCCCAAAAGATGCCAGGAAACGAGACAGAAACAGAGAGAGGAGGCGTGTAGAGACAAGGGGAGAGAAACATCAGATATTGATTGATGTTATGTATAGTCTGACTCCCACTGAGGGACCTGCTGGTGTGAAATGATCATGAGACTATTTATGTGCAGCTTGTTAGATTCTGCACTTGGCATACTACAACAGAAACAAAGCTTGTTCGTTGTTTGAGGTTTAAGACAGTCCACTGGAATTTCCCAAAAATGAACCCATTCATGTTTTCCAGAACTTCTGGCTCTGAAAACAAAACAGAAAATCCTGCACATGGTTGATCATTCATACTCAGTTTATTTGTTGTTAAACTGAGGATTGAGTTTGATTGTTTGTGATCTTTTAATGACTCAAGTCTATGCTCAGAGCTGCCTACATGTAAGCCTTTAGAAACTGAACAAAGTTTGCACTTTTATATTTTGCAATAGTTAAAAAGCCAACATAAGAGCATCAAATACATCAGGTCAACCAGCTAATGTTAGCATACTTGCTCATGGGAGATTTGAGCATGACAGACAACTAGCCTGCTTATCTGCTCCTGGTGTGACTGACCAATAGGAACTAGTTGCAGTGTATCGAAATGAAGCTGCTAATGGAGTCTGGGGAGCTGTGTCCATGTTTGGGAATAACGCTTTTAAGTATTATACTCTAAGATTTGTTTGTTTTTTCTTGATACTCTTGAGTTGTTTATATTCCTAAAAGTTGTCAGTGCTGTTATTATCTCGACCAACCTCTGACCGTGCAAACATGTTCAAAAGTGACTCCAAAGACTTGCCATACACAAAAACACAGTGGAAAAAGGTTTTACCAAGGAACTTTTTCTGCCCCAA